AAATGGATAAAATCGTTACTTAATTTACTTTTTTGTAATACATTTGTATATAATAACCCTTTTCCCGTCAAAATAACCCTTTGTTACCTCAAATTAAGCAAAACCACTTAGGACATGGCACGTAAAAATATTTTATAGAAAATTAGTTCTTACAAGACCGTATGAAAATTACAATAAATTCATAAACTAAACCATAAGGTAAACAATTCTCTTTTTACAATAATGGTAAAACAATTTCTTAACTAAGCCTAAATACACAGGTATTATGGTGTATCACCACTAGAGGTCTGATTAATCGCATAACTTGTTTCAATTAATTAATCTTTACTTAAAATATTGGTTGAGACAAAAAAATCAGTGTCGCGAGCGGGATTCGAACCCACCATCTTCGGCTAAATTCGCCGCTGCTCTACCACTTGAGCTTGAGAAGACACGATAGCTAAAGACTAATTAATTGAAAAAATATATACATAACATTGATATATTCGAACAAAATTTATATAATAGCCCCATTGTTTTATATTAAAAATTAAATAAAAAAGTATCATTTATATTTTATACTTAGTTATTTATAATACTTTAACTGTCACGATACTCAAGTGGTTAGAACAGCGGCGTACTGAGCCGAAGGTCGTGGGTTCGAATCCCGCTCGTGACACTAACTTTTTCATCTAAACCGAGACCTTACATAAAAAGAATATAATTGAAAGAAGTATTTTGGTCAATTAGTCCACTAAAACATAATATTATTTATAATTTTAAGTTTTACTTGTAAATAGTTTTATATATGGTCTTCACAGATACCAATTATTTATATAATTGTGTTTTAAATGTACAGAAATTATTACAGTTATTTTACATGTTTAAATCTTATACCATTTCCTAAGTTTCTTTTATTTTTTGAAGTAAAAAAGGTTTAATGGAATCTTGAAAATGGTTTAATCAAGTTAAAAGAAGCATTATTTATTTTTTTATATCAATTTAGTAGGCGTATTAGGATTTGCCGTTTTTTTAATAAGTTCTATAACGTACTTTTTAAATTGTTTGGTTCGTAATAACCACAGACCAGGTAGGAAAATGGCACAGAATGCCGAAACGGCGGACATTTGAACAATTCTTTAAAAACACCTTCGACAATGGGGCCTAGAAAAAAATCAATAATTAAACTTTTGTTCATTTTAGAGAGCACGGTCTCTTAGGGACCTAATATTGATATTCAGCAATCAACAAATCAACCCTGCTTAATTTTTCTTCATTGATTTGTCAAGTCTGCACAAGATTTCCCAATATGCCTAAAACCTCCATTAATCAATAAAAAGACTTTTATGACAAGACAAATTTGATTTCCACTTCTCCACCAGTCATCTACATTTCCTTACTATCGATAAACTGCTTTCACTGAACCAACTTTATTTGTCGAGAAGTTTTATTTTCCCGAAATAAGAAGATATGTTTTTAACATAAATTAAGCCATATGATATTAATTCTTCTTTATTACATTGAAAGATGTAGACAGGAGTTCTAAACCTTAATAAATCGTTTGGTATTGTTATTGCTCAAACGTGATAACAATGTTTAAAGTGGGGTGCTGCTGGAAAAATAACGAAATTTCATGTTTTATTGAGCCTTCTCGTGTTGAGAGGGGTGATTTTTGTCTCGACGATCTTTGGACATAAGGGAGACGACCCGCCAGCTCGGAGCACAATGGAACATATCTGTCACACTTCACTTGTTGCACTTAAATACCTTTACCTGTTCACAAACTAGAACCGGACTCAGGCAACAACTCGGTCAACCCAGTCGTTTAACCGTTTCGTTAAAACCAAACACGTCTCTTCAAAACAGGTTGATGAATTCTCAAAAAACTCGGACAATTTTCAATATAATTAAAAGTGAAAATAATAGCCATATCAAGCTCTTAGTTTCAAGCAAATGTCAACGTGTTATTAGGACTTTTAAATATAAAAAGATTTCAAAGAAACTTCTCTTTCTTACTCGCCTGTTCAAATCACTGAATTTCATTGTGAAATTAAAGACAAAATGTTTTATTAGAGAGATTATTGTCATGTTGATGATATTTAATGCGTACAAAATATTTTTTTTAAAGAAAAAGCAAACAAAAACTAGCAAATAATTAGCATTTTCAACGTAGAAACACCTCCATGTTTTGAATTTTTTCTATCGTCCAAGCTTTAAAACTGATAAGGTAACAACGACTATTGAACGAAAATTTTTTGGGGATACTTGGACAAAAGATACACGTGTAAGGTCGTTCTTCTTAATCGTCTCTAGGAGCCAAGAGAATTTTTTTGAAAAGTCATTTACAAATATAATTTATAATGTGGTTTTATGCATTTGTTCTGCAGTTTTTTTAAAATTATTACATCACAATCGATTTGCTAGTCTATCTAGAATAAGAAAATTATATGTAGGCATGTATTCAATGACATTAGGTTTATAAAAAGTTACGAATATAACAACACTTCCAGTAAACTAGGCCAAAATAGTTTAAAAACATCGGATTCGTTTTAAGCTCCCTTGAATACAAATTTTCATCCCTTTAAAAAAATATAATTTTATTGGCTGGATTCTACGAGGCTCCATTTTTCTCAAGTCGATGTTCGTTATTCCACTTAAAATTTCATAACATCTCTGGACTTTTTCTCGATATCCATGGTATTGCAACCGTTGGAAAGCTGGATTTTACATCTTTCTGGCTATGACGACAACCTTTGGTTTTTAACTGGTTTATAAGTAAGAAAAATAAGAACGAAATCAACAAAAATTTTCAAACTTTTTATTTTATATTGTGATTGATTTGCGATTGGTTTGTGCTATTACGTATAGGTTATACGGCCTTAAAGGTTTCTACAATGTCCAGTGGTCAGTACAGTCGTTTTAAAGTTATCACCATTTTTATGATGTTCGTGAAAATTCGGAAGTAATTCGAAAACCCAAAATTTTAACTGGAAAATTGTTTCCTGATTTTCACCAAATTGGTATTCACGGTTTTTTCCAAGATGTAGGAAATGGATTTTAACTTTCTTTCTTGCTAAAAAATATTTAATGATACACTGAGGAAATCACAAAAATACTGATTGATTTGTTACAATTCCACTTTTCTCATCTAATTTTCATTACAAACTCAACATTTTCTATAAGACACGATTGTATTGTAGTATTAGTTTACGGATTTGCATATAAACTCTGACATATTGATTAAACTTTTCATTCTTAATCGACCGTTAAAATCTCCAAGTTTTATATTTTCTTTAATAATTTAGCGTATATATAGTTCATAAAAAATATTATCAATAGACTGCTTGAGTGTTTTTATTTATCATTTATCCACCGAAAACTGTTCATTGACCGAAATATGCAGCGAGAATGGGCGGACCAGTAATATCAAGGAATGCATCTGATTTCCGACATATGTTCAACTCCTCACCCCAACCTACGAAAATTTTCGATTTGATATAAAAAACCTCCCTTTTTCAAAATAAAAAATGAAATAAGGAAATGGTCGCAAGAAAAGTCCTAACTGATATTAAAAGTATGAAAGCAATGCTGGTCAGTTTTCCATGGTCACATTGTAAGTTGCATATTTTTTGTCCTTAAAATGTTTTATTTTGTATATAAAAAAGGATTTCTATGTAAAATAAACTAGGGCTTTGTTTACAATTGTTAACATTGTTATTTGTCGCCGGTGACCGGCAATTTTCAAATCCCGTTTCTTAACCGAACGTCGAAGTCTCCGCCCACCCATCAAGGTCTATTTTCCAAGATCTTAAGATCCAAGATTTCTTTTTAATAACCTCTCAAAATTATAGAAAAAATAACAATAGGTTATATTGAAAAAAATCTGTTTATAGATTTGGAAAAATCGATAGATAATTCTAATCCAATCTTATAAAACGATTTTCTCTTTTAAAATATGATGTCTCAACTTAGATTTTGATTTCCTTCTATATTAAAAAAAGAAGTTTTTTATACGATTTGTCGTACGGTATATAGCAGATAATTAACCATTTACTGTTAAATTATGTTTTAAAAACCTTGTTTACTGACACCCAACAGAAAATATCAACAAAAATTTACTTTTGATTTCGATATTAACAACACGCACAAAATAGGAAAATTTATGACTTAAATCTTAACTTTTTTGCTTATGTAATAACAAAACTATTTCTGATTATTTGCAGGTGACTTTTATTTATCTATGTGAACAACTATATCTTTTATGTGTATTTTTCATAATTGGTTTCGGTTTGAAACAGCAAAATGTCTTGCCTTCGTTTATAATAGTAACAAGTTCGTTTTGTCGAAATTATATAAAGCTTCTTTATGTAGAATTTTAATACATAAATCGTATTTTATTTTAATGCAGTTAAATAAGTTTTAACATTTGACAAATTGGAGTTCAATAGTTCACTCACTGTTAATAAATATTTAAAATAATAATAATAAATCATTTAATATCATTTAAAAAAATTAAAATTAAAATAGGGAGATGGTGAAATTTTTTTCTTATTATTTAAAGCTTCTTTATTTGTAACTTGTAGTTGATCCGAATTTTCGATCCTAGTTGGACTCACTTCGCGTTACGGGAGTGCAAAAGAACTAACTCGGAAGAATCACGATCAGAGGATTAACGTCTATTATTAATTAAACAGGTTATAAGAGTCCGAAAAAAATATACAGAGAGTGAGAGAGAGGTCAGAGCTCCCTTTCACTCCACCGGTTGCACAAATACGCGATGTGTCGGCTCCACCTAACAAGGATATTTCTACCTGAAAACTTCAATCTCACTAGACTCCTCCCGAGCTGGCCTGGTTGATGAAGAACGAATGTTTTCAGCCCGGCGAATACCGCCTGTTTACATCCCCCGCGCTTAAATTTCCAAATTCACTCAATTTTAAAAGCATCGCTCTTTGTCGGAGTGGAGACCGGTTCAAAGATGACAACAGCAATGAAAGAGGGAGAATTTATAAGTCATTTACCTCTTTTATAGATAATCCTTAAGTGTTTTGGAGAAAGGCGTGTAATCCAATATAGAAATCCACTGATTAACACTGTGTTAATTATAGCAAACAGATGGACATTAGTTTCACACTTGAACTCGCGTTTTAGGAAAGGGAGGCGGCTTGACGCTGAGCCGGGGTCGCGCACATAAATTGACTAGGACACATGTTCGCGGGTGGGTCGACTCGTGGCCGGTCCGAATAGCGCGTCCATCCTCCCTCTGTGGAAACGGTTTGTGGAAAGCTTTTGGGAAATGTCACTGTGTTTTGAAAGGGAACGAGAAGGAGTCTTGCCGCAAGCCAAGACGGACACTCACTGAACCGGAGGACCGCAGGTGGGAGATGGAAGAACCAGTTTTCACCAGGTGGGGGAAGAAATCTTGAGGAAGGAACCTGAGACCGACCTTACCTCTAGAATCCCCCGCCCCGCGACGCCCTGCTCTTATCTCAATAATTTTAACACATTTTCCCTTTTGGAAATGGACCGGCACAACGTGGGGGCCAGGGCGAAAGACCTTCACCTACGACAGCAGCCATAAAACCGAAGATACGCGCAAGTGAAACCAGCATTGATAAGTTTTTCTCTGCGCTATCATGCAAAGAAAATGTAAGTTTATGGTTTAAGATTGAAACATTCCTATAAAACATGTTTTTGAGAATTTAATTAAATTTGGTGAACCGTTGTAAATTACCATATAACTAGAAAGTAAATATTATCACTTATACAATATAGTATTTTACCACTTTATTAATAAATATGTAATATTATAATTTTTAAATCGTAGACAGATTAGTTTACGATTAATGTCAACTCTGAAATCCTGACAGTTGATCTTATAAAATCACCTACAATGATTTTTTAAAAGGTTGATTTCTCAAGTAACTTCTCAATTTACTTACATAAATTTTTTAAAGTTAAATGTGGAAAATATCAAAATTGTGAAATAACATTAATTCGTTATCAGATTTGAATGTTATTTTTTAGCGTGAAAGAACGGAGTTGTTTAACCCCATCCGAGGAATATCGAGTACTCTGGGGTGAGTGTGTGACGTCTAAGAGTAAAAGTAACTTATTAGCGAGAATGGAGTGGATTCGACCACGCTCCGAGGTACATCGAGTACTCTGGAAGAGTGAATATGACAACAGCTATGTTTATGGCGATGTATATGTACGTATTAACCCCTAAGAAACCACGTTCCAGAAACGTCTGGAAAGTAAAAGAAAGTTATTAGCCAGAATAGAGTGGGTTCAACCCCGCACAAGAAATAACGAGTACTCTGCGTTGAGTATGACGTCTGGAGTGTAAATGTAGATGTAAGTTAAGTTATTAGAAAAAATTGAGTGTGTTCAACCGCACCAAGGAATATCGAGTAGTCTGGGCGAGACAATGTGAATAGACTTCTCTGTTTGTGGTCATACATTGTAAGTTTTCTTTCTATTCGGTATTTGACAACCGGAGGTAGAAATGAGAGTCTAGCATTTTAGGATGTTGACTGTAGATATTAAAGCAGAGAATCAGTGACCAGATCGAGACGCTCAAATGGCTGAAGTTTAAAACAACAACGCAGAGAAGCGCAAAAACAACTATTTCTCACATTTATTAAATTAAAAGAAGAATCCTTCGTGGTTACATTTATTTTTATATAATTTTTAATTTTAATTGTAATTACTTCTCATATGGTCGATCTTCTAAAAATCCGATTATTTTATATTAAATTTTCAAATTAAAATGGATGATGTTAAAAAAGGGTTAATTTGAAATTTAAAATGATTACTTTGAAGTTAAGAGACATTATTTTGACGGGAAACATTTTAAATTTATATAAACATTTATAATAATAAAATGACAAACAATTAAACATTTTTTAAAATTAAAACCAAGTGAAAATTATAGAAATTATGTTGTAGTTATTAGGTTAGATTATTTGGAAAATCGTCAGTTGTAAGAATTTAATATAGTTTCTAATGATGTTTCTTTCTAGTTCATACTTTCTTGTTTATACTCCAGTAATGAAAATGTTTTGTGAGAAACAAATTTATGAAACAGTTGATAAATCTCAAACATAGCCGCCATTCTTTACACTCCACTAAAATAAGACTGTGTGCTAAATGAAACTTAAGGGTTTTTATCCAAGAAGGAAACACCGGAAAAAGTCATTAAAATGTTTTCCACTGAAAAATAAAGTTTATGTGAGTGGCAAGGGTTTATCAATTTCTGAATTATAATTCAGAGCTGGCAAAACGATACAATTTCTTTAGCATTTTAATCTTTTTCTCTCGTACTAATAAAAAAAAATAATAAAGATTGACCTTTTACTTTTCAAAACAAGTTTTCAAACACTTAATCCAGTTTAGCTTACGAGATTACGTGTCGTTAAAAATAATAGAATTTTCTAAAAAAAATTAAACTATTGTACCGATTGAAAGCTTTGTTTATTGGTCTGCTATTGAAGGGCGTCACTGCAGACTGAAATTTGCAATAACAGAGATAAAATAGTTCGGCGATAGATGTTTTTCATTGCTCTCTAGTCCCCAAATTCGCATATGTTTAAATATGTAAAATGTTTGGCTTACTACAGCAGACAAATCCTCTGGGTACCAGTAAGAGCTTTTGATATAAGTAGTGATGACACTTGGGCCAAATTAAATTCCGTCATGCATTGTTTTCTGAGGATCTTTCGACAATATTCATTCCACATCATAATGTACTTGACCAGAACCGACTTAATGTTGAACACGACTTGGGTATCCCTTGCATGTCGCAACCTCCTCCTAAAACATTTACTCCGACCTTTCACACACAATTAAACAACTGCCTTCTCGAAAAGCTGCAGAATATGATTTAATATGAAAATATTGCAAAATTTGGCCCACAGAGGTTTACTCTGCTTAATATATCTGTACAACGCTGTAATCAGGACAATATTTTTTATTGCAATGGAAGTTATCTATATTTACAATGATTCATTAGCCAAATAAAACGTCTTCTTTTTGTCGTTCATGTCGGTCCATCAGACTACTTACTATTTATCCTTGTCAAAATTCTGGAATAATTCCTTCTCCGAAGATTATTGCTCATGATTGAAAATGCTATCCCGATCATCTGTTTGGATTCAGCTCATTTCACTCAACAACTCAAGAGCTGCGTGTAATAGCATTTTCCTTGGACAAAACCAGCATTGCTTGGGTGTCTTTCTGTATTTACAATGAACTTTCGATCGATTCTGGCACTCGTGCTTGGTTTGAAAATTGACGTACATCCTCTCGCAACTGAGATAATGTCTGACGACCGACAGTTCCGATTCCGTCAGGGAACTGAATTTTCACCTTATTTACGCAATGAAGCAGATTCCTCAGGTACGCATACTTGGGCCGTTTCTATTTTCAATATACACTGTAGATATCCTGCACATGTTAACATCTCAACACAAATATGATAATACTGCTATTCTTACGCGTTATTCGGACCTCTCCATAACCAACCATTAATTACAATAGCTGAATGAATTAAATAACACACTAAACCTGACGAAAAGCGTAGAGATAAATTTTACTCTGCCTAAAAGTACGTTTCCCCTAGGGAGGATAAATGGAATCCAATTTCTAATGGCCTTGTGCCTTATCTTGGACTTTTCATGGATAAATGATTGACCTGGAATTCCCACACAAAACTCAAAATCTACTAGCAAAACAATTCCCGCTTCTATCCATAACAGAAATTCCTTGAAAAAAGATGGAAGCGAAAGTGGTCCCGATACCTACTCAATGGGTAACGTGTTAACCCAAAAGACACAATCAGCATAAATCCAAACTATTTGCTTAATCCAATATTTGTAGTGGTAAATAACAAATAAATGTAATAAATAAGTTTTTATGTACATGTCTTTTGCAACAATTTAGTATCGTAAGCAGGAACTCTCAATCTGAGAACTAGAAGGCTTCTTTCTTAAACAATCTCCTTCGAAATATTCTTAGATAAACTAAATATGTCGTCTTTCTTTCCCGCAGGACAATTAACCAAGCTGGGAATAGTAATTGACGAAAGCACAACGGGCGGAAATACTAAGCAAGCCCATTTGTCGAGGCTTTCAGGCGAATCTATTTTCTTCACTTATTACATTTAATTGATTCTTGGTATTGCTCAACGTTTCGAAGCGCCGCCTAAGGTAATAATTTGACAGGTGAGCACTGCCCCGGGCTGAAACCACCGGACGTTGCTGCTGAGGATTCACTTTCAAGAAGACACGATCAGACTAGAAAAAAAACTTTGAATAGATCCGACACTGGATACTACTACAAAATTCTATTTAAATATACAATCTAGAAAGTATGTACGAACAATCACACAAAATATATTTAAATATACCTGTGCAATTTGGTAGTCTAAAAATGAAAGTGTTTCTTAAAATAAATAGTTGGAAATGATAAAACTGAACTAAGCCGTATGTAATTTAAAAATAATTCCTAACTATCTCACGCTCGCTATTTTTTTCATATGTGACACCTTCAATCTGTTTTTCTATGGCTCTCTTTCGCAATTTCTGTAGATCTATTTATTTACATGGCTAAAATCTATCTGTTTATATATCTATCTATTTCAATCAAGCTAACCCTTGTAAGCCTTCAACGTCGAGCTTATTCTTTCTCCCTTCTTCCTCCCTCTTTCGCTTTCTTTCTTTTTTCTTTTTCCCTATCAATCTTTCATTTGTCAAAATTTCAGACTGGTTTTCTATGTCTCTCTTCTTTCCATCTATCTATTTACTTGGCTATATATTTATTGATCTAACTATTGAATTATTTCAACCCTACTCTTGCTTTTTTTGTAAGCTAAAACCTCTCGCGATCATTCCTCCTTCTTCACCCACTCTCACTCTTTCTCTTTCTTGTCTATTTGTCTCTTTTTCTTTTATCATTTTTCATGCCGTTAGAATGTGCTCTAGGTTGCTTTCTCTCTAGGTTTACATATCAATTTTTTCTATCTATCAATTTGTTTGAATCATTCCTCTTTTTTGTTAACTTATTCTTTTCCCCTGTCTACTGTCTAGCACATAACTGAACATTTGGAAAAAATACGAACAGAGCGAGAGAGAGAGCGAGAGAGAGAGAGAGAGAGAGAGAGAGAGAGAGAGAGAGAGAGAGAGTCATTACAGATGGAAAAGTTAACTCTAACTAATCTACCTTTTATGGTTTTATTTGTGTATATAGATGAAAATTGATCATCAGTGTACTGTATAAATTTGCATATCGTTGTCATTCGCCAACCGCTTCAAGTATCGATCTTATCAGTGACGGTCCTCTTCTATACGATTCTACATTGCCC